CGTCCTAGGGGGTAACTCCGCCTGAAGGATATAGTCTACTATGGGTGAGGTATAATTTGGCCTGGTGAATCCAGTGTTCAATCCATTTCTAGCCATAATTCTCTCGACCATGGCTGCTAGACTACATTGTCCGCGTCTTGGTTCCGATTCACAACCATTACTCCTGGGTTTCTTTCTCCTAATACACGGGGCTAGTTTCGCAAAGGCTCTTCCCTAAGCCCTTCGACTACCGGAGAGGCCATCCTTCCTTGGTTTCCTACATCGATTTCTGCCATATTCGCCAAGTTTTCTCGTGGGATATCCGCTGCTGCGGCTTGATTTCTGGCTAAGGGGGGTACCCCCATGAATTCAGCCAATCTTGTTAGTTGTACCGCCAATTATTGATTGGTCTGAGTTGTATTTTGGATTAATGGTTGAAAGATTTCACCCATGGTTTATGACAAAGTCTGAACCATTTGTAGGTTACTTTCGTCCATCTGCTGTCTCAAACACGCAACTGAGGTGTTGGTCAAATTGGGGCCTTGCGTCGAATACCCTAAGCTCTGGCTTTGGGGGTTTCGACCCATGTTCACGCCTGACCCTGACCCCTGTAATGGTGAAGCCATCGCCTGATCTGAGAATATGGGGGGGGTGCACTTTGGAGCCCCTGCATCATAGCGGTAGGCATCCCATATGGGGGATTTCTTGGTGACTGTGAAAAACCAGGGGGACCAAACTGCCTAGAAGTCGAACTTCCCCCTAGAAAAATCTGAGGATTCGACGTTTGATGGCCAATATATTCCAGCACTGGTTGAGTATAAGGTCTTATCACTGTCGATCCAGCCCCAAGTACGGAGGATGTCGGTACTGGCCTCACAGGAAGCATCGTTTGTTCTCCAGTCGACGGTATCGGAGGGGGAAATCCCTTGTCTCTTATTCCCTCACTGGAACCGTCTCCTTGATGGTTGGGGTTATCTGACTGGTTTGTATCCGTAGCCATGTTTCTAATGTTTCGTCTTGGTCTTCTTTCTTCGTTTACAGCGGTAATTTTACCACTTCTCAGTAACATAAAATGTACTTCTCACGTAACGGACCAATACGACTACAAAATTTTGAAAGTTTTAGTTTTATAAAAAAAAATCTTTAGCACGGTCCCACTAGGCGTGCCATTTTGTTTCCCTTGAAATCGGAAAACAACCGCTGATCTTCCAAATCTAACTTTGGTGACTCACAGGATCGATCATATTGATCCTAGGACATGTGCTAAAAGGCTTTTTGTTTTAAAAGTCTATCCAAGTTCCACACTCGAACAGTATTGGGGTGAAAGAATTTTAAAGAAACATCTATTCGACTACGGGATAACTTAAAGGTAAAATAAAGCTTTCAATGAAAGAGAGAATAAAGTTTGTTTGGAGAAGTGAAGTTAGATTAAGGACGAAGAGAAAAGAATTACATAGGAAGAAGAAGAAAAAGAAATAAAGTAAGGAAGAAAGGTGCAAAGACAATAAAAGACTTTGTAAAGTTTAAAGCAAAATAAAGCAAATTGCATTAAGTTAAAAGATGGTGTGTTTACATCACGTACATTCTCTATAATACTCGCTTTCTCTACGCTCGGATACTTGGAGTAATTCTAAGAGTAATTTGTACAGTAGTAAATTACAACACACTTTGGCTATGTCTAAGACATCCTATTTATAGTAGTAAAAAATAACTTCTAATAACCTCTATCATCACCTCCTTTCGCCACTTGTCATAAATGCATGGATCTACTGCTCATAAGGTGACACGTGCCTCCTTCAATATTCAACAAGCAAAACCGTTCCCTCCAAATTTTGAATTTCAAATCCTTCGACGAACCATCCATAACAACAAGCGGTCGAACTCTTGGCTTCTGGGTGAGTTCTTCGACTTCTTCTTTTGACTGCTTTACCTCTTTCGACCACTCTCTCGTTCTCAACTTGCCTTTGGCCCTTTTATCTTGAATTCCTTCCTTCTACATGAGGCGTCGAATTTAGGAGCTAACAATTTCCTAATGAAATGTCTTTATATGTTTTGTAGAATTAGTTTATACAGAAGATGGTGTTAGTTGTTTAACCTCTTCAACCTCTGTTGCGTTCGAAGATGAATTAATGGTATTATTGATTAAGTTTTCCCCTTTATTACCCTTAGTTTTCTACTTTTTAATTGGAAGACATTATTGTTACCCTTAGTTTTCTACTTTTTAATTGAAAGACATTGTTGTTATGTTGTGACAGTGAGTAGAAATTTTCATTCAACTAGTGTGAAGAAGGCGGGAGGTGGATATGACATTCATATCACATGTACAACTTGGACCAGATGAAGCATCAAGGGTTAAAAATGTCTCTTGCAGTGTTTATTGCTCTCAACATCGGTGTTGCAGTTCCTGTCTTTGCAATAATAATTGGGTGGATTTTGGAATCCTAGACTATCATATTGGTTTTAATGATTGTTGTCTTATTACTTTGACTGTGTTCATGTTTAATTTTCTATATGGATTTTTCATATATGTAATAATCAACTTTTCTGTACTGCCAAATACTCGTGCTTGAACATTTTCATTTCTTAATACAAAGTATAGAATTAAAATGTTTCAGGTGGTTTATCAATTATTTGATAGTTTGCAATAAAATTGATTTTTTTAAAAAAATTGGTTTTAAAACTGGTTTTTTTTATAAAATTGGTTTTAAAACTAATTTCTTTAAAGAAAATAAAAACTGATTTTGAGAGAAACCGGTTTAAAACTGATTTTTAAAAAAACTGTTTTTTTTAAATCCGATTTGAAACTGAACCAATCCACTTGTAAACCGATTTTAAAAAATAAACCGATTTTATATAAATGGTTTTAAGATCCAAACCAAATCATATATGTGATTGGTTTGGTTTGATTTATAATTCATATACACCCCTACTTACATATACATTGGATAGCGTCTGAAAAAAAACAAAGGATGTTGTCTAAAGTCAAAAAAGTTAAACTCTACCTTACATGCACTCATCTTTAAAAATGCTGCCTAAAGTTAGAATAGTCAGAACACCCTTTTTACATCTCTTTTTTAACATCAAAATAAAAATATCATAATATTTTATTTTGGAATAGTTATAATTTTTTCTTTGGCAGCTAATGAATATTTGGAGTAAGTGTTTGACATACATTTCTAATATGAATTTCCTACTTATGCACATTTATAAAGAAGGAACTCGTGTGTAGACTTATTTCCTACCATAAGTCTCACATTCGACTCCCTTCAATTATTTAACAATTAGAAAAGATTTTGTAAAAACCTGCCTAAGTTTGTCGTTATATAGGTTCATCGATTTATAAATGAATTTTGTCTAAGTCCCCACTTTTGTGTAAATATTTCTCTTTTTTATTTATTATCATCTTAGTAAAAAAAAGTGCATTGAAACTTCCAATTTTAAAACTATTAATAAATAATTAAATGTAAAAAAATGAAATGTTATTGCTTGATTGAAAGTAGAATATCCAAGTTTTTGTGATGGATAGAGGAATTATCTCTTTAAAAATACATAACTTCCAAAAAATTTATTAAAAAAACTTATTTTTATCCAAATAATTCTTAATCACTCCAATTTTCTTAATATGAACTACCAAAACAATAAACATATTTTTTAAGACCCTAATCCTCTAAAGTCAGAAAATACTTCATTCACAGATTCACTCTCAGATAGACGTTTGATAGAGATCAAACAGTTATGTTTAAAACAGATAATTTTGAAAATTCAAATATTTATTCTGAGCTGTGTAATCAAAATCGAATGGTTTAAAATATAATTTTATTAGACTGCGTTCGCAGATATGGTTGCAAGTGTTACGATTGCGGCTATTATATTTGTTGCAATCCGCATTACGGCCGTCGCAACGTGAATTCTAATAAAGAAGTGTTCGAAATATAATATTGAAAAAACATGTTAAGATTTTTCATTACATTTAAAATAAATTGAGTTTTGAAGTTAAAAAAAATTGAGTTTTGATGAAAATACTTGAATAAATATAGTTAAAATTGTCCGATGTAGTTTATAATATGATCGGATGCATGATCTTAAATTACGATCTAATGTTGTTGCGGAAACTACTGCATCTCCAATATTGAATTTGTTAAAACAATATTTAGTACATGGCTTTCAAAATCAAGCCTGATACCACAAATTATGTTAACGAACACACGATAGAGTAATGTTTAGCAATTATTGAAAAAAGAGAAGACAAGCACGCGTCAAAAAGCACTCATTACTTTTTCTTTTGGACAGAGAAAGTAATTTTTTTAACAAACAAAAGTTTTATTAAAACTCATGCATAAGATATGCCAAAACAAATATTACAATAATGTCCAACCAAGACTACAATCAAACCACCGTAACAGATAGTGTGTTATAACACTTGAACATAAACCATAAAAACACACCCAAAGGTAGTAGGCATATGATCACTGCATAAACAAGACCCAATTCTATCATAATCATCCTATTCCAATGCTTCAAAAAGAGTTGCACCGAGAAATATCTAAATCTCCATCCATCATGACTAGTACTAATGAGCCATGATACACCAATCACCTCTATCCACTGATACCTTACCACAGATGGGAGAAAACATGACTCCCTCCGCAGTCCTATCGTTGAACTTACCACTTTCTATAGTAATAATAAACCAGAGCATAATGTTGTGATTAATGGCTATGCAAACAAAATCGGGAGAGAAAGCAATTCATTACTTTTTTCTTTTTAACAAAGAAACCAACTCATTCTGTAACTTCACATCATGAAGCCCAACGGAACTTCCTAGAACTTCACACCATAATAATGTCATTGCTATGACTATATTGAGAAAGGAAACAGGTCGGCAAAGAGTACATAAGCATGCGTCCAAAAGTAACTCATTTACTATGTAACATGTTGATGCTAAGAAAACTTAATTAGTTAAAGTTTAGAATTTTGTAACATATCATCATCATAACAATTTTGTAAAATAAAATATTATAATGACTATGCAACAATACATATGTGCTTCTTTTTCATCTTCTTCTTCAACGACGACATCTTTAAAAAAAAAAGTTGTTTTTATTAGCTTTCGTGGTGAGGATACTCGTAGAAATTTCACAAGCCATCTTTGTGACGCTCTTAGCAAGAAAGTTCTAGCATTCATTGACGAAACTGAGCTTCAAAGAGGAGATGAGATCTCGTCGGCGCTTATCAAAGCCATTGAGGAGACAGTTATATCTGTAGTCATATTCTTAAAAGACTACGCTTCTTCAAAGTGGTGCTTGCATGAACTCGTTAAGATTTTAGAATGCAAGAGAGATCAAGGACAAATTATGATACTTGTTTTCTATGACATACAGACATCCCATGTGAGGAATCAACCTGGGAGTTTTAAGGAAGCCTATAAGAATCACAAGCAAAATTTGAGACACAACAAAGACAAGTTTAAGAAATGGAAAAATGCACTTATAGAAGCATCTAATTTGTCTGGATGGAATTCTCAAGACTACAGGTAAATAAAATGAAATTTCTATTTAATTAATTCGTTAATTCATGTTATAACTTATATCTTTTCAAATTTCTTATACAAAGTACAAACTACCCATGTCATATGTTACAATTTAAAAATTTTGTAATCTATCCGTCTCAAAATAATAGTCTTTTATAATTGTTGCACATAGATTAAAAAAAATAAAAATTGAATAATCAAATGTAATAATTTTACAAAATTGTCTTTAATTTCTATTGGTTGTCATAAAGACATATTGTGATGTAATATCTTGAAAATTGTATAGAAAATATTTATTAGGGGTAAAGTTAGTAAAAATTTATTATTGTTGCATTGAAAACGTAAAAAGACTCTTATTTTAGAACAATTTTTTTAGCTAGAAAGACTCTTATTTTGAGACAGAGAGAGTACACATCTGATTCATTATTCCTTTACTTTTTGCTTAACCGTTTAACATGAGTTTCAGACATCACTTGTGACCTAGTAATAACAGTTAAAAAAATCATTATCAACCTATCAAGTTTTATACATGTAATGTTCAACTTAAAACATATTTTACCACTAAGTTTATATGTTACTATACGATTGAGCAATACATATTACATTAGAAATTTCAAGCCACATGAATTAAAAATTATCATAAACAACAATTTATTTTTTCAACACACCCCTTCACTAAATCTTTGACTTCTTCGCTTATTTGCTTCCCCTTTTCAACATCATTTTCTGCAACATGCTTGGAATTAGTGTTAGATGTCCAACTTTGCTTATTTGATCTATAAAATATGGGCATCTTTCACTCCTTTTTGTAAAGAAAGTGTTAGAATCACTCTTGCTTTGGTTAATTTGCACCATTATGTGAAAATATCTTGGTTCCTTTGACTTGTGTGTTATTGCGTAGGAATTAGGCATGAAAAATAAAGAGTAAGACACAAGAAAGATAACAAAGAAACCAAGTCAGCATGCAAACAACAGCAAGTTCGCACAGCGAACTTGCTAGCGAAGCTTGTCAGAAAACTTCATAAAGTTCGCACAGCGAACTTTGTAGCGAAGGCCAGGAAACCCAATGTACTGTTCACACAAAAAGAAAAGGGCCCTAAGTTCGTTGTACGAAGGAGGTAACGAACAACTCGTTGGAGCGAAGAGGTAGCGAAGGGCTAGCGAACACTCCCAGACTTTAGGCAGTAGGTATTTGGATAAGAATTCGATGTGCGAAGTTTTCAGCGAAGGCTTCGCACTGCGAAGAATTCTTCGTACAGCGAACATGTGGAAATCTGTCTGGGGAGTTTTCTCAGGACTTAGGCACTTTAGGTGCCATTTTGGTTGTTCGCTAGACGAATGTAACACTATTTTCTACACACAATAAAAGGCACATTTTTTAACATAAATCAGAGTAAAATATATAACTCAATAAAAATCACCTCAAAGAGTGTACATTTCTCAATAGCTCAAAATAAGTCAATGCTCCGTGTACAACGGGTTTTCCCAAAAGATATCAAAAATTGCTCAAAGGCAGCGAAACTCAAAAGGTATTATCTAAAGTTTTCCTTATACGGAAAGACAATCAAAATAACTCAAATAAAAACATAGTTCAACTCAAAGACCCCAACCTGATGTTACACTATCAGAGCAAGAACCTCTAAGTTAACCAAAAGGCTAACAACTCGAAACTTCAAAAGTCATCAACAGCGTCCACAGCTAAACCTGGTCATCTGCATGTTATCCACGTGGAGGTAACATTCAAACAGGAAGGGTGAGTAAAACGGTTCATAATAATCAATGTATGAAATCAACATATAAATGATGTCATTTTTATATTCAACATATTCATATTCCTCAAAGGACATCAAATGCTACAACATCATAATTTACTCACAATCATCTCATAAATGCAAATGCAACAAAACTCAATGCATGTGGTACCAATCATCACAATGCGATGGACATTAGGCCATCAACCCTCCATAGATCCCCATCAATAGGATCGATTCTACTAGAGAACAGGAGCACATCGAAATACTTCACATCCACACAATAGGATTGAAGCCAAAGTAATCGAGGTCCTGAACCAAAGTCCGAATGCACATGAATGCATGATGCACACGTCACAAATCATCCTCATAATAACATAATAGGTGCATCATCATTCATCATATTCATCATCATCAAACGTAATAGCTCATCATCATACATCATGTCATCATAGCTCATCATAATAATCATCATCATACATCATGTCATCATAGCTCATCATAATAATAATCATCATACATCATGTCATCATAGCTCATCATAATAATTATCATCATACATCATGTCATCATAGCTCATCATAATAATCATCATATAATCATATATTAATTCATAATTATACTCGCGGTAATCCTCATACTATCGCCTATTAATCACATAAACTTCACAGTCCTACTCATATTAATTCGTCAAAGAAATCACATAATCAAACATCAAAGCATCGCTGCACACGATCAACATTCGCGAAACTCTGCTACGTTCACTGGCATGTTCGCTAGACGAGTCTGAGGCGAGTTTCTTCACTATGCGAAGGATTCTTCGCTAGGCGAGTTTGGGAACAACATTGTTCGCTAGGCGAACAATGCGATGACAACAATTCTGCTATGCACCAGAACTTGATCCAACCCAAAAGTCTACACAATTCACTTCCCCAATGTCCCCAAAACATCCCTAAATCATTCCTAAGGTCTTACGATGATAAAGTTAGTCCATTCCCGTATCATATTCACGCCTTAAATCACGAATATTCCTTTCAATTACACCCTACTCATTACAATTACTCACTATATAATATTCTTATTCCTTCAGGGTTAGACAAATAACAATTCATGGTTTTTGGCCACGAAGGCCTAACTTTCCCTTTTCCCCAATGAATTCCAAGGTTAGATTCACCTATAATAGATTTAGGCCATGAAGGTCAAAGATCACTTTTTCTCATATCCACACTCTAACTCTCAAGAATATTTACCATTACACCACAATCATCAGAGTTCTCACTATCATATTCCCCTACAGGGTTAGACCAATGTCAAATCAAAGTTTTGGCCACGAAGGCCTAGTTTCCCTTTTTCTCCAATGAATTCCCATGGTTAACATCTCAATACTAGATTTAGGCCACGAAGGCCAAAAATCCTTTTTTCTCACAATCAACCCCAAAATCCCTTAAACTCTTAAATCGACCTTAAATAAATTGAATTTACACATGGAAAACCATGAAGGTAATACACCCCATACCTTAATTGTCGATCAAATTCTTCTCAAATCTTTCCGGGAATCTTTCGAAGCTTTTGTCTCCAATTCTCCTCTTCAGAGTTCTGGCCTCTATTCTTTTCACGGTCTAACAAAATGAATCCTAATCCCTTCACAACTTCCTTTTTGTTAAACCTAGCCTTGGACATCACAATTGGGTTCTTCCCATATTATCCTCACTAACTCCTCTCAAATGTCCAAATTGCCCTTATTCAACTTGTAGTTATTTTAATTAATAATAATATTAATATATTCATATTATATATTACTAGCGTCCAAATGGGTACTCCGTGTCCATTTGTCCGCTTTTTTAATTGACACACATATTAAAATATAAGCAGATGTTTTTTTAATCTAATTTTGTTTTTAATATAAATTTTGTGATAAATTTCCTTCATGTGCATTTATATGTTTTTTTAAAGGCGTACGCGCAACAAATTATAAAATATCTTTTTTTTTCTTAATTTTTGTTTTAAATTAAATAAATTGGCAACTTAAATCTCAAATTAGTAAATATGACCTCTCTCAACAACAAAAAAATAATACGTGAGAATTATTAAAAACTATGTAGAATAACTAATCTACATAACACAAAATAAAATTAAAATAAATCACAAATATTTTATTTGATGGGAACAATTTTCTATTTTACAAATAACTAAAATTGTCTCAATTGACAACTGCCATGTTTGAGAAAGTTATACGAAAAAAAATAATATTTCATTGATTAAAAAACAAATAAGAGATTGATTGAGAACCTAATTAAACATAAATTTAACTAATTGATTTAAATTAGGAAAAATGTGAGATATATAAATATTAAGAAAAATAATTTAAAAGTCTTTTGAAATTTGTATTTTTGTTTCAATTTAATTAAAATGTGTGAGAGGATATTTTAAAAAGAAGATAATTAAAATAATAAGTGATTAAAGTTTTAAGAGTATTTAGTATAAAAATAACTGCTCCATTTTCATATTTTTTTCAATGTATCTTTTTTATAATTGGAGAAATAATATTAAGCAGCATAAACTTTTTTTATAAAGATTGTTTTATTGATTTTAAATAATAAAATAAAAAAGAAAATTGTAAGTAAGATTATTATAGTTGGTTATCATTAGTTGTAACTGTCAGAAAAATTGTCACATGCAATTATATGTTGTATATTGAGGCAGCGGTTATATGGTGTGTAGAAGAATAAGTTAGAAAAATAAATAAGCGAGAGACATAAATAAAGATCATATAAAAGAGAGTAAAACAACATTAATATTCAAAATAAGTTTGAAAATTCAAGAAAATTTTTATAAACAAAATATATTCTCATAATCACAACTAGCGTCCAAATGGGCACGTCCGTGCCCGTTTGTCCGCTTTTTTTATTGCGCTAACGCGCAAAAATATTAACAACGTATTTTTTTATAAATTTAATTTTACTATAAACTATTTATATTGATTTTAATATAAACTATTTATATGATGAAACATTAAGTTTTGTATTTATATATTGCTATAGATTAGTCAAAACCGTAAGAAGATTTAGATAGAATAAGAACAAAAATCTTTCTCACAATTTATTAAACAACTAAACATAAACATTAACACGGATATTGAGTTACATTATTGCTTAATAGGAAGGTCGACCATGGAATCAAAATCAGAAATATCTCTCGTTTCACTGCAAAACAAATGAAGTAATACATTAATATATTTTTTATTTGATTTTGGTTT